AGAGGTTTCAGGTATACAATTGTATAATATATTATCTGTATATTGAATTGTGTATTTACCACCCCAAGTTAAGTAGCCTTCCATCACTGTTATGGGTTCAATCAGCAAGATAGACCACCGACTCAAAAATTTAAATTTTAAGAGCCTTTATTAAGCTGGCCAGCTGACTACAGCAGCGTCCCTCCTGTAGGAGCCTCACAGCTTGCAGTGCTGACCGAGAGTACAGCAAAGCCTTTTATCTGCAATACTACAAAGTATTTCTAAAAAAAGAAAAAAACAAACTGCAAAGTGGTTCATTAGCCGTTTCTGATACTGGCTGGGTAAAAGTTCACATAAAGTTTACAAGTACAAACGGGAGGAAAGCAAGGCCATACCTGGCTGGGTTTAATCATAACACATTGCTTTTCTAGCAAGATAATTAGCAATTTTTCTCTCCCATGGTCCCTGCCCCTCAGCCCACTTGGTAATTCTTCTCTGCCAGGCCCCTGCCCCTAGCACAATCACCATTTATCCCTTTACCTTATTATTACCTCATCCCCCCGCAACCACCTCCTCTCTGGTAATCACCATACTGTTGTTTATGTGCATGAGTCTTCTTTTTCTCCTCTTTGCTTAATCCCTTCATCCTTCTCACCTAGCTCCCCACCCCTGCCCCACTGACAGCTGTCAGTCTGTTTTCTGAATCTATGAGTCTGTCTCCACTTTGTTTATTTTGTTCATTAGATTCCACCTATAAGTTAAATCGTGTGGCACTTGTCTTTCTATGACTGGCTTATTTCACATAATATTCTCCAGGTCCATCCAAATGGCAAGAGTTTCTTCTTTTTCATGGCTGAGTAGTATTCCGTTGTGTATACATACCACTGCTTTTAAAGTGTGTGTGTGTGTGTATTGAGAGAGAGAGAAAGGGTGAGGGGGAGAGAGACACATCAATGTGAGAGAGAAACATTGATAGGCTTCCTCCTGCAAGCCCCCTAATGGGGATTGAGCCTGCAACCCAGGCATGTGCCCTGACCAGGAATCGAACTGGTGACCTTCTGGTACATGGAACAATGCTCAGCCTAATGAGCCACCCAGCTTTTTTTATCCACTCATCTATTGAGGGACACTTGGGCTACTTCCAAATCTTAGCTATTTTAAATAATGCTACAATGAACATACGGAGGTATATATTCTTTAGAATTAGTATTTCAGGATTCTTTGAATAAATTCACAGAAGTGGAATTGTGGGGTCATAGGAAGTTTCATTTTTAATTTTTTGAGGTTATTCCATACTGCTTTCCACAGTGGCTACACCAATCTGCATTCCCACCAACAGTACACAAAGGTCCCCTTTTCTCCACATCCTCAGAAACAATTGTTGTTTGTTGATGTATTGATGGCAGCCATTCTGACAAGTGTGAGGTGATATCTCATTGTGGTTTTAATTTGCATTTCTCTGATGATTATTGACATTGGGCATTTTTTCATACGTCTATTGGCC